GGATCAAACAATTCCAAAAATATAGAAGTCTAAAATGTCAAATAGATACAACTACTCCTCATCACCCTCACTCTCCTTTCTTCCCTCTTCTTCTCTCTGTCGGCTACAACAGCAAGCTCGGCATTAGGATAAGATATCTTACCCTCCATTGCAGATATTGTCTCTCTATCCCCACCATCGAAGCTTGAGGATGATGAACCACAATACCAAGACTTCTTCTTCTTATACGCCTTTTCTGTTAAGCCGTAGATTGAACCTCTAATCGGTTCACCTGCACTCTGTTGCCAAAGATTCTCGTTTTCTTCTTGTGTAAGCGGTCTATCAGTTCAATAATGATAAATTTTAATTTCAACAACTAAATAACATTAACTCTAACTAGTTTTGAATTATTTCCGCCAACTAAACCAAAATATTTCAAATAATGAGTAAAACTAACTAGGGGTTAATTAAACTTTATTTGAACTAATTCCACCAACAAAATCCACCAGCTAAATCACATTATTTATTTGAACTTATTTAAACAACTTTTTAACTCTAACTAGTTTTGACTTAATTCCAACAACTAAATTCACCAACTAACCCACATTATTTATTTGAAATTATTTAAACAACTTAACAACTTTTTAACTCTAACTAGTTTTGACTTAATTCCAACAACTAAATCCACCAACTAAACCACATTACTTATTTGAACTTATTTAAACAACTTAACAACTTTTTAACTCTAACTAATTTTGACTTAGGGCCCGTTTGGCCATGCGATATGATACCATGATATGGAATCATGATGGTATTATGATATGGAATCATGAGATGAAATTGAAGGTTTGTTTGGACATGCGATATGGAATTTTTGTGTTGTATATTTTCTTATAAACAAAAAAAATCCCATAAGTTGTAAAACTATTAAAATAGCCCCAATTTTTTATTCAATCTTATCAAATAAATAAAAAATTATAAAATCGCATAATAAATTATTACAAAGTTATTTATTCTCCACTTAAGTAATTGTTTTATCTAACTTTAATTTAATAAAAAAAAATTGAACATAAATTGTAGTGTACTAGTCTTTAATATAATCCTCCCACATAGTACAAACAATTTCCTCACGTTGAACTTGCATTTCTTGATCATGTGACCGAGAAGACGAACCAACATTGTTACTTTGAGCCATTTGTTGGTCAATATCCTCCGCAACTATATCTTCATGTTCATAGACCATAAATATTTCATCACTACTTTGGTATTTTCGCAAATAATTATGTAACACTGCACAAGCTATGACAATTTTCACTTGTGTATCAATATCATAATGGTTCATGCCTTGTTTCAATATTCTAAATCTATTTTTCCAAGCTCCAAAAGTCCGTTCAATCACATTGCGCAGAGATGAATGCCTATAATTAAATAGTTCTTTGGCATTTTGAGGCTCTCTTTCACTTCCTCGATAATCTTGCAAATGATAGCGTAGTCCTTTGTATGGAACTAAAAATCCTTTTGTGTTTCGGAAACTGCATCAACAACATAATATTTATCTACCAAAAAACATTTTATAAAGAATTACTAAAAGCATATGTGACGTAAATGAGACAGTTTTGTGTAAATAAATAATATTTATTCTAAGGATGTAATTTAAAGTTACCATGTGACAGAAATATGTAACTAAATACTAATAACTTACACATAAAATATAAATGTGCACTTATTAAGGCCATAAAATAAATTTATTAATGTGATTGAAATTTTACCTTAAACCAAGGCCAAAATCAAGTATTATGTCGAATTTTGGAATGTACACCAGTCATATTTTTTGGTTGTATAAATGTTGGTGCTATCTTACTAATTGCCTCGGCAACTATTTTAACATGCCGGTTAATTGTTTCAAGTGAATGTTGAAAAGTTTCACAATTGTGAGGTGTGAGTTAAAGTGACTATATGTGGGTGCGAATAATAAATTTTATATCGGTGAGAATAATAAATTTTAAAAAATAATGATGTGATTATAAATTTTATTTACATATGAAACAAATGGTTAGTAGATATAAATGTGGGGTTGTTTTAACAAAATATAAATTAATGGATCAAGTATTGTATTAAAATATCTCAAATCATGATATGAAATCACCATGTAATTCCATATCATGGTTTTTGGAGAATATGATATCACCTCTCATGATATGGAATCATGAGATGAAATCAGCGTAAAATCGCATGTCCAAACGCTGATTTCATCCACGATACCATATCGTGATATGGTATCGCATGGCCAAACGCCTACTTAATCCCAACAACTAAATCCATCAACTAAACCACATGATCTTCATCTCTTTAGCTGAGATTGATGTTTGTCTTCACAAAGTAGCTTGACTTGGCAACGACGGTTGTGGAAATGGACGCAAATTATTAGAAAGTTGGATTGTTTATCTAAATGGAAGGATACAAATAGGAGCCCATCGACCTCAACTAACTTGAGATTAAGGTATAGTAAATTTTACTGTCGATATAGTGAATCAACACTTTGTATCCCTATATCTTGCTTAAATGTTCTGATTACCCTACTCAACAAAAATTAGTACAATTATCTTTTGTTGGTTAGATACATTCATGTTCTTGAGGAATGCTAAAAATTCTAAATGTCATTGGGTTTGGATTTCAGTGTATTATAGAGATACATATATATTAGCAGAACTCTACTTGCACATAAGAAAAAAAAAACAATGACGGCATGAATTTAGTCTCTTTCCTAAAGTACTGCAATTTGTGAATTCTTGAATCCACTTGTAACAAACCCAATAGCAAGATCAACACAATTCAAATTCAAACAACCGATAAATCTATTCACTAACTCGTAATTGAAATTACAAAGGAATTTAAGAACTAAAAGGGAATTGAAGAACACATGTAGAAGAAAGGGATGAGAAGTAGAACTCAAAGAAAGGGGATGAGAGGACTAGACATTTTTTTCTCAACAATTTGCATAAACCAATTTTGCTCTCCCAAGTCTCTATTTATCAACCCGGATCCCACAAATAGCCACTTAATTCGGATTTGGGCTGCTTTGTCAATACTGGTCTAGACCCATTCATAACACCACTTGAGATGAAAACAACAGAACAACAAAGAACTTGATTCTCTATGAACTGAAGCAAATATTTCTAGTAGCTTACAACTAGAACATACATCTGTTTGAAAAGAGGAATCTATGCATACAATGTTCAATGATATGTTTAGTTTGATACATAATCCTCTCTATTTTCATCTTTAAGATATCATCTTTTTGACATGCCTTACAGTGTGTTTCAAATTATAGAAGCATTCACAGTTCAAGATTTTTCACGAGTTAAAAATTAAAATAACATCAGTAGTACTTAACGAACATGGAACTTGCTTTTATTACTTAGCATCAGTATATAGTATACTGTAATTTGTATATATTCTAGTACAAAGGCTCTGAAACCTTCAGATTGAAATAAGTAATCTATATAAGCAACTCAACAATACAGAAAGGCTAATCTTAATAATATTTTGCTGTGAAAGTTCTGATCAACATACTTGTTACTTCACAACCGCTTGGTGCTGAGCATAATCTTTTCCATACCAGGGCACCTTACATTTCGAGGAATCTCACTTTCATGGAATCTGATGATTGGGTGGATCCATTGATAACATATGAGAGATGAAGTGCATTGTTGGCCTTGATTTTGGATTTTCAACCAAACACGAGATTGCTAGCTTGACAATGAATACCAAAAACTCTTTTACTTCATCCTCAGGATGTGGAAGGCGTTCATCTAGCAAATCGCTTAGCTGCACATCTCTTGTTGATGAATTTGTGAGAAGAGTAAGGTATTCCCCAAGATGCTTCCCTTTGATTACCTCCAATGCTAATACTCCAAAGCTGTAGACGTCACACATTTCCGTAACCTTCATTGTATAGGCAAGCTCTGAAACAATAAAGTTCCAAATGAGATAGAAACAATATAGAGTGTGCAGATATAGTTCATGAACTAAAAAAAAAGGATAAGAAGTTAGATCTTACCTGGTGCTACATAGCCATATGTGCCTGCAAGTGCAGTACAATTGGATGAGTCTGGCTTGAGAATCTTAGCTATGCCAAAATCAGAAACACGAGCTTCAAACTCGGAGTCAAGCAAAACATTACTGCCTGATATGTCCCGATGAACAATCTGGGGTGAGCAATCGTGGTGCATGTAGGATAAAGCATAAGCAACACCTTTGATGATATTCACCCTTGTAAGCCAATCCAATTTCTTGGACTCTACTTCGTTGCTCAAAATACTAGACAAACTCCCCTTCTCCACATACTCGTAAACCAAGAACGAGTGTTGTGCATTCGAACAAAAGCCATAGAGTCTCACAATGTTCCGATGCTTAATCCCTGTCAATGCCCTTACCTCATTCATGAAGCTCTTGCGATGCTTAATTTCAAATGAAGAATGAAGTCGCTTCACAGCTACATTTCCCAATGATGGAAGATTTACCTTGTAAACACTTCCGAACCCTCCTTTCCCAATGCAAAATGTTGCATCAAACTCCTCTGTTGCTTTTAAGATATCCCAGTATAATGAACTTCCATGTAATGAGGATATTGAAAGCAGACCATCATCTTTGTCAATGGAATCCCGTCTTTCAACGTCTCCAACTCTTCTTCTTTGGTCACGCATAAAGAGAGCACCAGCGAAAGCACAAAGAAGCACTAATGCTCCTAGAATAGGAAGTACAGTGATGAAGATGAGTTTAAGTCCCTTCGCCATTGAGTGCTTCTTCACAATAGAAGCTGGCCTTTCGCAAGGTTGGAATCCAGTCACATTGCCGCAAAGACCTTTATTACCTTCTAATGAGGCATTCATGAAAGCTTTATTATTAGGGATTGGACCTTCCAACTCATTGTATGACAAGACAACATCCTGCAAACCAGTCAAACTTTCAAATTCTTTAGGAATGTGGCCAGAAAGGCTGTTGTGGGAAAGATTTAAGCTTTCCAAGACCTTCAAATTGGTTAACTGAGGTATTTCTCCAACCAGAAGATTATGGCTCAAATCAAGTACATTAAGTTGAGTTACACCCCCTATCTCCTTCGGAATTTTCTGGCCAAACTTGTTATAACTCAGGTTCAAGTGAAACAGGTTCTGGTAATCTCCTATAAACGTTGGGATCGAACCATTCAATCTATTGTCTGATAGATCAAGGTAATTTAACTTTGTCAATGACCCAAGTTCCATAGGAATATTGCCAGAAATTTGGTTGTTTTGCAAAAGAAGATTAACCAGAGAGGTCAATTTTCCAAATTCCCTAGGAATCTTGCCAACCAAATGATTGGATGAAAGATCTAGTCCTTGAAGCCCTTTGAGGTTTCCAATCTCTGGTGGTATGCGACCACCAATTCTATTTCTGGCTATCCGAAGATCAGTCAAATTCTTGCATTTCCCCCAGTTGCTGCTTAGTTCGCCATGAAAATCATTTTCGCTCAAATTAATGAACTGCAGCTCCGGATAGATACCAAAAGCTTCAGATAAATTCCCAGTAAAACTGTTGTTATCAAAGCGAACCCTTTTGAAACTTGAGCAGTTGCTCAAGCTTCTTGGTATTGGCCCTGTCAGCTTGTTACTATTCACCGTGAAGTTCACAAGTTTCCCACCTTGGCAAAGATTCTCAGGCAAATGGCCTGAAAACTGATTTTCATCCATTTCCATCACAACCAAGTTGTCCAAATATGCAAGTTCTTTTGGAATAGAACCAGAAAGTTTGTTGTGACGGAGAAACAAAATTGTCAAGTTTCTCAAATTGCCAAAAGAATTGGGAATCGGACCAGAAAGTTGATTAGTGGATAACTGCAGATCATTCAGTTTTTTCAGATTCCCCAATTCACTAGGAATGGGACCAGAAAGTTGGTTGGTATGAAGGTACAAGAGTTGGAGCTCAGTTAATTCTCCTATAGTTTTGGGAATTGGACCAGAAAAATTGTTTGTGTTTATGGTTAACTCCTCAAGTGACTTCATCTTCCCTATTTCGGAAGGAATATGGCCAGTTAATTGGTTTGAATCAAGACAAACTTGAACGAGATTGACAAGTTTTCCGATTTCTGGAGGAATATGACCAGATAAATTGTTTGAATCAAGAAAAAGTTGAACGAGATTGACAAGTTTTCCTATTTCTGCTGGAATGGAACCAGAAAGATGGTTCTCATACAGACTCAAAACAGACAAGTTGTTCAAATTCCCCAAAGAAACAGGAATAGAACCATTAAGAATGTTAGAACTCAAATCTAGCTCAGTAAGAGACCTTAGGTGACCTATTTCCTCCGGAATGGAACCATTTAATTGGTTGACAAAGATGTGGAGGGTCCCAAGCTTTGTTAATGTGCCGATTTGTGGTGGAATTGTGCCTGAAATCTGATTGATGGACAAGTCAAGATAGAAAAGATTAGTGAGCTTTCCTATTTCAGGTGGGATAGTGCCAGAGAGTTGGTTCATGCTAAGATCAAGATAATCAAGAAAAGGGAGTGAAGAAAATGGAAAATCATACAGTGTGCCAATGATACTAGCATTTGTCATATTCAACATGTTTACCCTACCATTAGAACATGTAACTCCATACCAGTCCTTACACTCATTAGAACTCGCCGCTCCAATTCTGTTGGTACCAGCAGGTCCACTTAGCGTCCACGAAGCCAATAAGGTATTGTTCTGGTTTTGGAAAGTTGCTTTCCATTTTAGAAGAGCAGTTGCTTCCTCAGTGGTAGCAAATGTAACTGTGAAAAAATATAAGATAGTAAAAAACTGAAGGAAATTAAAAATTGTGGGAACTATCATCATTGCTAATAATTAAAAGATTGTTTTTGGTTTGTGATGAAGTTGTGCAGGGTTGTAGTTGTATTTATATTGTAATGAAGTATAACTAACTCTTTGTAAGTCAATGGCATTTAGTTCTCAGCTTGTAAAATACGGGTAGAGTTAGAAAGACTTGGAATTATTCACTAGTCTTCTAATGTGTCCATGACTGTCAAGACTCAAGAGTACTATCGTGGGACATGCACTCTGGAATTATTTCAAGAAGAAAAAGTCACACACGCAGGGTCTCTGTTCCATTTTGGAAATTACCCACCTCTCGGACTGATATCTGAAGTTTCTTGGGTTTAGCCGGTTACTACAGGAGATTTGTTGGAAGATTTTCATCCATAGCTTCCCCATTGACCAAGTTGAATCAGAAAAAGGCAAAGTTTCATGATTGTGAGCAGTGGCGTACCCAGAAATTTCACGAAGAGTGTCCAAGAATCGCATAGGTAAAAAAAATAATTTGATGATGGGTGCACTAAAATTTTGAAATCAAACTACGTAACATTAACAATTAATTTTTTTAATTAAAAAATATACTAAATTTTTTAAAATCAAACCATGTAAAATTTAGCTTGAATTTTCATGTTTATTTAATAGGAAGTGAACGAAAAAGAAAAAAGAGAAAGAGAAAATTCAGTTTATAATGAAATCACTTTTATACTTCAAGATTTCACCGACCTTTGGTGACTTAACAACAAGATATGAAAAATAAAGAGTAAAATCAAATGAGTTTTTCTAAAAAGAAATTCTATATAGAGCCGTTTTCACTTTAAGTAGCTTTATAGAAAAAAAATAGAATTTGCTTATTAAATTTAAATTAAATAATTACTTTTAAATTTTATTTAAAATTTTAGTGAAAAGAAAAAATGATTAAAATTTAATGTTTACTATAGTTTTTTTTGTTATATTTTTAAGTTGTAGGTCTCTAATTTGAGATTATTCTAATAAATAATATGGGTTTTGAATTGTTGAAAAAATAACATATTTATTAACTATGATTAGATCTCTAATTAAGATTTTTAATAGATAATATTAATTTTGAATTATTAAAAACATAATTGATTTATTAACGATAATTAGAAATTAGGGATTCGAACCCATGCGTGCACACATTTATAAACCTTTGTGTTGGGCTAAGATACCGCTGAGCTAAGAAACTCTAGTGTACATGATGGTGTCCAAAATGTCTTATTTAACCATTTAGGGGTCGTTTGGTACAAAAATTAATAACGCAGGAATTAGTAATGCAGAGATTAATAATGCAAGGATTAGTAGTGCAGGGATTAGTAATGCAGGATTTATTTTTATCAAGTGTTTGGTTCATTTTTTCCAATCACAAGATCATTTTTTCCAACCACATCTTGTGATTGGATTAAAACTCTATAAAAAACTTCTTTCCAATTATATCCTTGAATTATTATGTAATTGAGTCAAGGTAGATAATTGTCGGACAATATTTTCCTATAACATTCTAACTAGATATGAGAAGAACAATTTTGTTGTGATATTTGCTATTTTTTCACTTGAATTATTTGATGATAAATAATTGTCATCTTAATAAATTAATCACTCACAAAATCATTTTTCAATTTAAAAAAGATAAACCATCTACTTTTAAGATCGAAAAAACGGTCAACAATGGTAAAATTGAATAAACCATCTACATTTACACATAAAAATTGCGAGTTGTAGTTATAATATGTATGTAATTTTTTAAATTGTTCAAAATACAAATAATTAAAAAACCACACACATATATAATAATCACAAACGTCATATACAAATAAACAACTCACATTTCAAATTTGTATTGGATTTATTTAGTAACAAACAACTCTCTCTAAATAATTTGTAAGTTCATTTATTTAAATAAATTTACTAGTGCAAATATAAATCATAAAATCAAGAAAATAAACAAAATAAATTAAAATGATTTGAGGGATATTTTTGTTTACATAGACTTATCCCATGGTATTATATCCTATGTATTACTAATACCTCCAAATGGAAGGTATTAGTAATACATCCCATAATACCATGCAGGAGATATTACTAATCCATGGATTAGTTATACATAGGCACAAATTCCTACCAAACATAGTACTAAATTATACCTTACATGATACATGAACTATTTCTTCTAATGCGGCCTACCAAACGACCCCTTATTAAAGTATAATTTTACTTATATATACGATGTAATTTTTTGATGCAGAGCATAGTGTACCTCCGCCCCTGATTGTGAGGGTTTCTTATTTATTTTCTCATGTTCAGTATGTAAACAAAAAGTATTTATATATAATTTAGACAAATATAATGAGAGTGGAGTATAGGCATAGGAACTACGGTGTGGGGGTAAAGATGAGAATGTAGCATTGAAATTTCGTATCCAGCTAACTGTAAGTGCTTGTCCAATGGTGTTTACACCAAGTCAAGTAATATAACCTTAACAGTTAATTAAAGTGAAAAATACAAATTACCAGTTAACTATCTACTAAATGATAAATAAACGTTTGTAAATACTTATCTTGTGGTTTAATATGAAAGCAATATGTGCTTGACAAAGTGCCTAAAGTAATAAACACTAAAAAAACGTAGAGTGGTATTAACATTCCTGTGTCTGCTTTCTTTTAGAGTCGTGTTACATTTAAGTGTTGTTGTTGTCCTCTTGGCCTAGATCTCTGTTTTGAAAGGTTATTTTGGGGACTCGTTCGGGACGGACAATTACAAAACGTCTTGAGATTCATGTGTGGGGTTTAGTTCTGTGAAACTTCATCTTAGACGTTCGATTGTGCATTATAAACGTACGCCTAATACTCAACGCTAGCGCGGAGCTCGCTCAACGGTACCTACCAAAATCATGTGTCAAATTCCTAAATGAGCATTTTGACCTTTAAATCATATTATCAATTTATCATCCTATCATACCATTTTAAAAGTGGAATAACCCTAAATTGAAAAGCAAAATTACCAAAATATCTCTTAAATATTGAATGACTATTTTGCCCATTATTTAAACACTACTCCTATTAATAATTTTGTACAAAAAAGTAAAATGAACATTTAATAAAGTAAACATGATGCTTAATTTGACTTCAGCGGTCAATTATGACCCTTAATTTTGGATGTGCACAAGTAGACACTTAAACTTATATAAATTTAAATAAACAAACACATTCGTCCTACATAACATTCTACATGGCGATTATGTGTCCTACATGACATCCTAAGTGTATTATGTCACATAGGACACATGTGTCTACTTGTTCAATTTTATACAAATTTAAGTGTCTACTTGTGCACACTTAAAGTTAGAGGGCATAACGTCAACTGAAACCAAGTTAAAAGACATATTTATATATTATGCCAATGTTATATATGTCTAAATACTTCTCTTTGTTTACTTTTACTTATCCATTATTCTAAAAATAATTTTTCATTTTTACTTGTCACTTTTAACCAGTGTTTTCAAAAACGTTTTTGGGGTGAGTCTTGGGGCGGGACATACCAAAAAATGCTCTGGGGCACAAATTGAAGTCGTAGATTCATAGGGCATAAATCCTAGAATTTGGGGCATAAGTCCCGAGCGTAAAAACGTACGCCTCAGGCGTTAACTTTTTTTTAAATTATTATTATTAATATTATTATTATTTTGCTTTAAAACATATTTTTTATTATTATTATTGGTGTAATGATATTTATATTTTATGTTATCATTTTTTTTCCAAGTTGTAGTATTTTTTCTAAAATATATAAATAAACTCTTATAGAAAATGACATTGATATAAATAATTTTTTAGTTAATCGTGTCTGAAATCCATAGGAATAGAACTTTTGTAGCAATATATATGTTCTTGAGATAACTTTATTCATTTTTTGACATTACTCTTACATTTTTTTTTTAAAAAAAAATCTTCTTTAAAAATACATAAACAATACTCACTGCAAATATTAATTGAGGGTGGGAAGGACTAGTAAATGTGAGGAAGCTAATGATTTCATTTGGCATAATACATAAACACGACACTTTACTTGGCGTCAACTGACAACTATGACTTTTAACTTTGTGTGTTCACAAGTAGACACTTAAATTTGTATAAAATTGAACAAATAGACACATTTGTCTTACATGGCACCCTACATTACAAATTGACATAATACATAAATGCGTCCTTTAACTTGACCTCATTTAACATTTATGCCCTTCAACTTTGAGTATGTACAAGTAGGCAGCGCACTTAAACTTTATAAACTTGAACAAGTATACACATGAGTCCTACTTGGCACAATACACGTAAGACACCACGTAGGACATAAAATGACATGTATGATGTCATGTAGGACATGTGTGTCTATTTGTTCAACTTTATACAAGTTTAAGTGTCTACTTGTGCACACCAAAAGTTGAAGGGCATAAATGTGATTTGAAGCCAAGTTAAAGGGCATATTTATATATTATGCCTTACAAATTTGTGTCCTACGTCCTACGTGGCGTCCTATGTGTATTATGTCATGTATGCCACATGTGTCTATTTGTTCAATTCTATACAAGTTTAAATATTTACTTATGCACACTCAAAGTTGGAGGGTGTAGTTATCCGTTGAAGCCAAGTTAAGGGTCATGTTTATGTATTATGCCATTTCATTTTAGAGATTATTTTGGCAATTATCAATTTTGTGTTGTTAGTTGTTACCTTTTTTGGCTTAAGTCATATGCGCCCCCTTAAAGTTGTCCGCATAATTCACTTAGACACCTCAATTAGGACTAGTAGCTATTGAACACTTTTATCTATCCAAAATCTGTTCCTATTAGACCTTTTTCGATAATCAGTAAAAAGTAAAGTGTGTGTGATACACTTGCTATGATGTGGCAAAATTACTAATTAAAAGATGACATGTGTTACTTGGCCCAACAACTATCGATTTTTTTTTAATGCTAAAAAGAATGAAAATTATTTCAAATTAATTTTATATCTATTTTTTAATTAAAAATAAATGAAATGACAACACATTTTACTCAACCCCACCCTACCCAACCCCCTTTCTTCTCCATCTTCTTCTCAACAATTTTTTTTCTCAAACCACATATACCAACTTCACTACAAATTACTTGTAGGTTTAACTTTTAAAAAAAAATATTTTTTATTCCTAATACGTGAGAGAGAGATATTCAAAGAGACTGATACAATAGTGATGAAGAACTTTGTCAATGGTTACTCATCCGAAAATCGATTGCAAAGAAAAAATGAGAGGATCCAAATTAATTTTATCAAAAAATATTTTTCATTCCTAATACGTGATAGAGAAAGATATTCAAAGAGTCGGTACAAGAGTGATGAAGAAAGAAAGTTTGCCAATGGTTAATCATCTTGAAATCGATTGCAAGGAGAAATCAAGAGGACCTATATTAATTTTATCGAATGATTTGATATTGTTTTTGATAA